GTGCTCCCTGGGCAGCAAAGCGCTGGACGACGTAGCCCACATCACTCAGAAACATACAGTCTTTCCCCTCAAACGTATTGTTCTAAACGCTAGATCCTTGCTAAATAAGATGCCTTTGCTTCAGCCTCTGGTGATCGTCCATTGTCCGGATGTTGTTTTAGTAACTGAGACATGGGCATCGGCTTCCGAAGCTGATTCCGACCTCTCTTTTCTAGGCTATACTTGCATCCGAAATGATCGTCAAGACAGCCGTGGTGAGGGCGGTTGCGTATACGTTAAGCAAACACTTGCATTTCTGACGCTAGACCTCCCGCATTTTTCCGCAGTAGAAGGCAGCTGCAGGCTGCAGGTTTTACTAAAAATACGTTTTCCTTAATCGTTGGCTGTGTCTATCGCCCGCCCAAATACAACGAAAATTTTGATCGTTTACTCTCACAGGCATTTCATACTGCGGCCGACTTCAGCTTTAAGTATCAATAGGTTGCGGGTGACTTTGATCTCCCCGAAGTCCGCTGGTCTGCGCCTTCCGGTCACAGAAGGTTGGAAGACTTTTTTAAGGCTGTGGATGTTGAGATGTGGAATCAGGTTGTCGATTTTCCCACCCGAGTCTCAAGCATACTTGACCTACTTTTCTGTAGATGCTGCATGCCATCGTCAGTATCGTCCTTAGGCCCACTCGGGGGCTCAGACCATGACATAGTTGTTTCAACGTTGGAACACGAGGCTGACAAATCGTTGTCCCCAAAGTAGAGCTTATTCTGCGATTTCCGATGAACTCGCTCGACCGAATTATTAACACACCTTAATTCCTACGACTGGAGTGATTTCTTCCTTAGTTCAGATGTAAATGTTTCCACTGCAAATCTGTACGAAATTTCGGATCCGCTTATTTCTCGTTTTGTCGCCCGTAAGAAAATTATTAATGTTGGGGATGTGGTGATCCTACCCTTACCCTTTCGTCGCAGATTGCGCAAGCTTTATCGTCGATTCCATCTTCAGAACGACGTTTCTGTTCTGCTATTGATTTGTGATATTTTTGAGCGGGCTAATAGATTGTCTGAAGAAAACCAGCTAGACGAAAATCTCCAATATACTGAAAACCGTTCGTTAAAAATCTCGAAACTTTTCTCCTGAAAAGTACGAACTCAGAGAAAGACGCAGTATCCCATCCTTCGAGACGATCTCGGAAATCCCATAGTTGATGCCCAGTTAACAGCTGATGGTTTCAATGCTTTCCTATCCAAAACGTTTATTTAGATTCGACCACTCCACTTCCGGCCATCCAGGCATTGACCGGGGCAGTTCTCGAAACTACAACATTCACTCTGTGGGATGTGACTGTTGCAATTCGGCGTTTTCGTCAATCTCATAGCCCGGGGCTGATGATGTCTCAGTAAGCATTTTAAAAGCTGATGCAAAAACGATTTTCTCATCTCTCTTATGCAAGATATTTAATCTAGCTCCTGAAATTGAAACCTATCCTAACTTGTGGAAGGAATCACACACTTTGTCCATTCCTAAGCACGGCAAATCCACGTCATTTAATGACTTTCGGCCAATAAACGCCCTCTCCGCAGTTTCGAAGTTCTTAGAGACATTACTCAAAGATAACAGAGAATAACCTACTGAGTGCAGCTCAGCATGGATTCCTTAAAGCTCGACCTTGTGACACCTGTCAACTCTCTTTCTTTGACTATGTTCTCCAATCTAGGGACAATGGTTTTGCACTTTACTCAGTATATTTCGATTTCACTAAGACTTTTGACCGTGTTGACCACAGAATTTCAACGGGAGTCTCGTTCGGAAAACCTATCTCCTTTCGACCACACCAGGACTTGTGAGGGATAACCTATCTTCGTCCAGTCGCCTCTCTGCGACAGCACTGGGCAATCCCCAAAACCTACGAAAGGCTGAGTCGTTTACCTCATATCCTCGATCTGGTTGAAAATTCGTGTCATACCTTTAAGAAAACCGTTTGAAACTTGTAAACTTGGTAATGTTATTCAGAGAAATGCCCTCAAAACCAAAGACCTGATTCGAACCCGGTTCATCGCTCGGACAGACAAGCGTCGTTACCACTAAGCTACTAACTCGCGCCAGCGTCGTCAAAACTAATAATACATCTTGTATTACGCATGATATTAATGACTGCAGTGTTGAACGTTCTGCTGTCAGACTAATGCCCGTAAAACGAGCAAAAAGTCTAGTAACGTTGGGGGATGTCACATACGACGATGAAATCTGTACCACATGTTTCGGACTCATCCATAAGTTTTCAAAAATGGAGGGGGAGTTAAAAGGTCTAAAAATGGAGGTATAAAAGTTAAGAAAGCTTACTCACCACTTACGTGAAGAGAAGAAGCCGACGAATTCGCCAATCCAAAATCCGAAAAAAACATATGCAACCACGGCTTCTTTAGCCATATCAAACGCTGAAACTGACGTCGGTTCGTCCAGGCAACTAGACACATTTGAATGCCAGTCTCTTAGGAGAGAAAAAAACCAGCCAAAGCGAACTCAGATAACAAAGAAACATTCCAGAAAAACAACGCGCACCTCTGTACGGTCCAAAAAAACGAAGGCCGCCTACGTACACGCAGACCAGCGAAGGAGAACGACCAGGAGGCTTACGAAGGACCGCCGGAGGCTTCCAAATATGTTGAACAATAAAGATATCGGAACACCTTGTTGACCGAATATTCAGGAGGAGGCTTCGAAAGAAACTGAGGTAAACTTTTTCGACGAACACCTCGGAAACACAGAAGGAAGGATTATCAACAGGAAGATAAATGAATCGTACACGGATCTCAGTTTCGCTAGCCCAATAGCTAGTTCATCCGAAACCAGCGAAACTAGTAAACTGGAGAAGAACGCTCAGTCACTCAAAAGATGTGTGACAACAACGAGCACCAAGTTCAGTCGCAAGCAAAACGTAGTTATAAAAGGAGTACCCGAATCAACGGCAACAATTCCAAAGGAGAGAGTTAAGCATGACTTAGACCTTCTTCAAGTGTATGCGAAAACTTTGTTAAGAGAAGATGAGTCACTAAGTGTTCTCAAAGCATTCCGAATAGGGAAGAGTCAGTCAGCATCCGGTTCCAATTCCCGGCCTCGACCCCTAAAAGTCATTTTGGAGACTGAAGCACAGGCCCAGCTCCTGTTACAGAGAAAATCATCTCTACGGGGTCAGCATCCTGAAGATTTTTTCAGCCGGATTACGAGCCAAAAGAGCGAATGGATATGAGATAGCTGATGACGTAGCTGGAAAAGCGGAGAAACAGCGGCGAAACACACCTACAAATCAAGAATGGACAAATAATTCAGGTCAAAAAGACATTTCTCTAGCCGAAAGCCGTCATTCTGACAGCCTAACCGATGCAAAGGTGCCAACTCCTGAGGTTGTTCGAATCAGTGGCCGCTGTCTAGAAATCTATTACACTAACTGTCAGAGTCTTCTCAACAAGCTAGATGAACTCAGATTACTTGTCTCTGAACAGAAGCCACACATAATTGTCCTAACAGAGACATGGTTGACTGAGGAAATTAGTAGTAACGAAGTCAGAATTGAAGGCTACCAACTGTTCCGTTGTGACAGATTTCACCGTAGAGGTGGAGGCACAGCTATTTATGTGTTAAATGAAAATGCGTGCTGTCAACGAGAAATTTCCGATGGTGCGCCCCGAAATTTTGAAATAATTTCATGCAAGATGTGTATCAAACATTTACCGACACTGAACCTGTGTGCTGTCTATCGGCCTCCCAGTTCGAATGAATTCGCCGATATGGAATTACTTAGTGCACTGGAGTTGTTATGTAAGCAGGAGAACTTACTTCTTCTGGGTGACTTCAACGCTCCAGGAATAGACTGGAACATTCCCCTAACAAACGCCCCGTCCACGTCATTTGACCACAAGCTACTAAAACTCTCCCTGAATGAATACCTCATTCAGCACATAAAATTCGGAACAAGAATGAGAGAAGGACAACGATCTAACTGTTTAGATCTCGTTTTCAGTAAAGAAGAAGGACTCATAAAGGAAGTGAATCCACAACCTCCACTCGGTTTAAGCGATCATATTGCTTTTACCTGCGTGTGCTCTCTCCTATCCAACCAACAACCAAAAATCAAGACGCGCAGAAATATTTGGAAGGGGGACTTTAACGCAATGAGACGCACTCTTTTGTAGAAAACCTGGTTGGTCAACACAGAAGATTCAGACGAATTTTGGCAGTACTTTCGCGGGATTATAGAGCGTCTGATTGATTCCCATTGTCCAATAAAAATGACAAGACCATGTGCGCGACCGCCGTGGGTCAATCCGACGACAAAAAAGACCATGAAGAAGAAACAGAGACTCTGGAAAAAGTATTTGCAACTTAGAGATCCAAGGTCACTCGCCGAATATAAGGATGAGCGCAATAAATGCCGCAAACAAATACGGATTGTTAGAACTTCTTTCGAGCGTCGACTGATAGCAGAATCCATTACATGTCCCAAGAAGTTTTACGGGTACATCCGCAGTAGGAGGAAACATAGGGACGAAATTGCGTGTCTAAAGGATAGCCTCGGAAACTTAGTAGTTGAAAGGCCACAGAAAATGCGATTACTGTCCCAGTTTTTCCAATCGGTTTTTACGGAGGAGTCCCTAGAAGACAATCAGCAGTTTGAAATGGACCGAGACAGCCGGGAGCTTCAAATGCGCCAAGATATTGCCGTCATTGAAACCGTCGCCTTTTCCGTCGAAGAAGTCAGACGCCTCCTCAGACAAATAAAACCTGATAAGTCTCCTGGACCCGACGGGATTCCCGGGCTGATACTTAAGGAGCTATCAAGGGAGCTGTCAAAGACTCTTTCAACTCTCTTTGAGATGTCAATGAGAACAGGAAGGCTGCCCTCACAGTGGAAGACAGCTAACCTCGTTCCATTGCATAAGGGAGGTAGCAGGATGACAGCAAGCAGCTTTAGGCCTATTAGCTTAACTTGCCTCCCTTGCAAAACGATGGAAGCTATAGTAAAGAGCGCTATACAGCAATTTTTTGAAGAAAATAACATCTTGCAGGATTTTCAACATGGCTTCCGGAGAGGACGTTCCTGCGTCTCCAATCTGCTAGGTTGTCTGGAGATCTGGACCAGGGCTCTAGAAGAGGGTTTTGAGGTCGATGTCGTGTACATCGATTTCCGCAAAGGTTTTGATACTGTCCCGCACCAAAGTCTTCTTCACAAATTGAGCGCCATCGGCATCCGGGGAGATCTTCTGAACTGGATTAGGACGTTTCTGGCTGGTCGGAAACAACGTGTCTGTGTCGGGGATGATATGTCAGAATGGGTGAATGTGACCAGTGGTGTGCCGCAAGGCTCATTCCTGGGAACATTGCTCTTCATCCCCTATCTTAATAACAGCCTTCAGGAACTCGACTGCGACAAAATAATGTTTGCAGACGACGCTAAGCTCTGGCAAGTCATTAAGGGTCCGAATGATCAGAGATCCCTTCAAGATAATCTGCACCGACTGCAAGCGTGGTCGAAGAAATGGCTTCTAGATTTCAATGTGGAGAAGTGTGCCGTCCTTCATCTGCGTCCAACCAACTCTCATTCAAATGAGAGCCTCAGGATATATCACCTGAAAGATATAAGGCTCCCCGCAGAATCTTCACAGAAGGATCTCGGGGTTTGGATACAGAACAACCTGAAACCAACACTGCAGTGCCACAAGGCTGCAAAAAACGCCATGGGAGTGCTGCATGCAATAAAAAGGGCTTTCGTTAACTTTGACCAAGACAATTTTGGGAGAGTTTACGGCACATTTGTTCGGCCCCACTTAGAATATGGCATACAAGCATGGCGGCCGTGGCTAGTAAAGGACCAAGCATGCCTCGAACGAGTACAACGGCGTGCAACAAAGCTGGTGAACGGTCTAAAAAGCCAATCATGCACAGACAGACTGAATTGCCATAATTTATTCCCTCTGTGTTACAGGCAGCAAAGAGGTGATCTTATCCTCATCTACAAAATAATACATGGCCTTGAGTATGGACTTAAATTTGAGGACATGTTTCAGTGGCACCTTTCACCCAATCTTCGTGGTCACTCGATGAAGTTACGGACAACAATGTCCAGGCTGAATCTTCGTTCTGAATTTTTCACGCAGAGGGTAGTGGAGAATTGGAACGATCACCCTCAGTCAGTCGTGGAGGCTACGTCCCTGCAACTGTTCAAGAAACGCTTGGATGATTATTTGTGTCCCCTGTTTTCCCTCGACAGTCTGAGTCTGAATTGATAACCCTGGTCCAGACAAATATTTTCTCTGAGACAATGCTACTCAAATGAACCAAGTACTGTTTTAATAGTGAACATTTTTTGTTCGTGTACAGTTATTTCTAACGAGCTGACATGTAATCAATAGGGTTTTCAAAGGCTTTGCCTATTATCCTTACCAAATAAACTGAATAAACTGAACTGAATGCTCTTCTTCTCTTGAAATTTTCCTCTTTCCGAATAGGTGGCAAACTTTTGAATTTGATATCCTTTTACCTGGGCGCTCGTACACAACGACTTAGGATTTCCAATGCCATCTCCAACCCCACACGTGTGAGGAGTGCCGTCATTTAGGGTAGTGTACTTGGCCCGCGTGTATTTTGCCTTTTCGTTAGTGATGTACCCGATTAATTCCAGAATGGTAAGCCTTTCATGTATGCCGATGATATTAAAGTTGCATATCGATATAAGCCGGTAGATCATGACATCGTGCTTGAGCTCCTAAACAGCGATCTACAGGCTTTCGCCCAGTGGTGTCGCACATGGCGCCTTTCTCTTTCCTGGCATAAGTGCGCAGTCATGGTGGTTGGCGACGACCGCCAACCTCCACTAAGTATTTAAGGTCACGCCATAAATGTGCCTGGGGTTTTAAGGATCTGGGCGTATCATATTCCGAGAGCCTCAATCTCTCGGAGCACTGTGTTTTGAGAGTCACCAAAGCACTTAGAACGACCGGGTTTATCCTCCGAAACTTTAAAACTAGGGACATTAGAATGCGCCTTTTCAACATGTACGTTAGCATGGTCTGGAATACGGTTCGTTTTTATTTTGCCTCATGTGTACTATTGAGCGGAAGATAATAGAATCCGTTCAACACTTTTTTTAATAAGAGAGTTTTAACCCTGGAACACCGAAATTTGTCTTACCAAGAACGTTGCTGGCTTACAGGCCTTGATTCTGTAGGGATTCGTAGATTACAAAAGGAGATATTTTTGCTATTTAAGCATTTATTTAATCGCACCTTTAGCCCACTCACTACTTTAAAACATCATGTCCACCCCGACGTAACAGTCTCAGTGAGGTCTTTTTATTTCTTCCTCTGGTACGTACTGTTAAATATCGTCGGTTATTCTCTGCAAACATGAATGCTATGTGGAATAAACTGCCCAGGAGTGTTAAACCTCTACAAAAGTATCCTTTCTTTAAGAGAACTTTTACTCGATTTTTGCATTCAGAAAAGCTCCCACAAATTTTGCGTACTGAATCCACTGATCGACTCTACCGTAGCGATGGCGTTTGTGGTCGCTGACCACTATGACTCGTTCCACCAGGCACAATTTCCTTGGCCAGCAGCGACAGCTGTTCTTCGGCGCTTCTGTTTGGACTAGCCCCACCTTCATGAAAGTAATTGGCGACAGATCATATCAAATATCGTGTAATTCCTCCCTTCTTGACCTCGACAGTTTGCTTTTATTAATTTTTTTCTCCTAAACCCCCCAAACCACAATTACCATCATCAACCCTATTTTTATTCCTTTTCGTCAGGAGTTTTTTTTCACTGCTGGCCGGATTTGTGTTTAACGCTCCCTTGACGATGCCTGTAAAGTGGAATTAAATAAAATTATTATTATTACCTCAACTGTTCACGAACATGGCCATCAAGTGCTCCGTCCGTAACTCGCATACCATACACACATCTATGTAATAGGCTTGAGATAATAATTCAGAAAGATTAGGCCGCTATTATTCAATCAAAGAAACCTCGTCCGAGAATTATTATATAACATAGTATGGTATGCCGTAGAATGGTTATAGTGGCCGATAATTGGTATCGCACAGACAGGATGCTCATTTGCTTGAAACGTGGTCTACAAGCATCAGAAAATAAGAACAGAAAGGATTGCATGATTCTCGCTGCAAAATTTGGCGGATTGCAAAGTCTCGAATTTCCGCCAGTCTGCCGATCCCCAAAAATGACCCAGAGACTGATTCCCATCTGAAAAAGGAGATGGAACGATTTTCCACTCAACATGACATCTTCGTCGTGGGTGACTTTAGTGCACCACCTAATGACCGGAGTTCATTTTCGCACGAAGCTCAAAATTGGACTTGTGCCGGGGTTTATTGAATAAGATGTTCAGGTTATTCCTCACTTAGCACGCCTTCTATCACACAAGGGTGTTTGAGGGACAGTATAAAAAATGTCTGGATATGGTACTGCAGGTGCCACTTGACAGCATTAAATATGTGTTATGTCTATGTGCAGTAGGTCAAAGCGATCTTGTAGTACTGCTTTGGGAATTTTTCATATTTGGGTGCCTTAACAAACCAACAGATCCAGAATGAATATTCGCTGTTGCGATTTCTATTAAATATAGTTCTGGAAATTACTTTTTTCCGGTAACATGTCCATGGACTGGAAACGGTTCAGTGGGTAAGTATAAACGAAAAACTAGTAAATTTTTTATCTAGTGTCGTCACTACCAATCAAGAATCCATTGAGATAAGACATTCACGAGTGAATCTCCGATCAAAGAGCAAATTTTCCGCTGCCCAAAGTAAGTTTATATTTAAAAAAGTGGACCATTGTAAAAACACCTTTAACGATTGGTTGAAAAGACATACAATGAATGTGGTATGTTAGCTCTTAAGGAGGAAAGAGCCATTACTCATGGGAAGGAAATATGCTCGTCGGAAAGGACTGTCCTGCGAGAGAGAATATAAGGATTCGGAACATCCATCGTCAAGAGAAAAATTCTAAACAGGTTGGGGCTATTCGCTATACGTGGAATAATTTGAAATAAGCATACACAGCAGAATTTAATAGAATCAACAAATTTCGCGACGACTTATCAACTACAAGCTGTCGCTGCGTAACAGAGATAGCGAATGAGAAAATACAGAGATTTGAGCTTCCACAGAGAAAGTCAATACAAACCAACAAACGCGTAGCGGTAAACATTGCTTCCAAGTGCGATAATTTCGAATGTTAGATGACAGCGGAAACAACCCTTAAATGACGAGACAGTAAGATATAATCGCAATCGTCCACAGTCCGCTGAAAGTCAAAGCTTATAAGGGATATTAGAAGGCGGCCAGTATCTGTAAGCGCAGGTGGAGGTGACCATGATATTTATTTGTTGACCGAACAGATTACTTGCAAGGTAACGAAATAGGGGAACTCGCCACGGTCATACACTGATCGTTTAGCGTCTAAAAGAGGAGTGGAAGTTAAAAGCCACGAGCATCATTGCTGTAGGGGATAATATTAGTGGATTTTACACCCGACTAAAAACGTGGTGTTGTTAAAATCTAAGTAAGCTTTTCCCTTTGAATAAGTGAAGCATGTGATAACCACTATTAAATTCCAGAAGGAAATTCTACGATCAGGAAATTGAGTGTTTGAAACTGAAACAAACAAGAATGACTTTGTATTTCCCGTGATAAGGTGCTTGCGTAATTTTGATTTGAATAGCGATAATTTGGGTGGCGAGCTAAGTTCTAGTGAAAAATTATTTAAAAGGAAAGCGCACTTGGATGCCAAAGGCGCAAGTGTTTAGACGTAGCGTAAAGAAATGACGGGATTACTACGAAGGGATTACGCATAGAACAGGATCGAACTATCGGAGTGAGAGCGTCAGTACATAGGAGAATACGGCTAAATATTATACGAAATAGGAAGCAAAGGCCAGCTTCGAGTCATGCTCACAAACTGAAATCTCTCAATATAAGAAATACTTCACTCAGCACGCGGAAAGAGTCTTCGAGCGGAATTCCTTGCATGTGTTGATTTTGCAACGGTCGCGGGCATCCAATAGACAGCACTATTAGAGGACAAAATAAATAGGCATCTGATAACGTCTTAGCTCCATTTCTGGAAGGTTAAATTATGCGACATGAACTCACGTATTCTCGCAGCCCTTGAAAAAAATTCAGTCTTCATGAGGGGGTAAAGCAAGCTAATTTTCATAATCTATGTTTAGGTCCCTTATTGCGGGACATTCTGGCTAAATTGGCCGGCACCCTCCCTTCCCACACGTTGCCGTAACGTCTGCTTCTCCCTTTCTCTACGTCGGCACAAACTTTGGCCCTCCCCTGCAGTTGTCCACAGAGCTGCGTTGTTTAGCAGGCACGCCAGAGTCGCCTCACCATCCAGACAGGCCACCTCCTTGCTGTAACTCATTCTATTTATAAAATTAGCCACTAGTATGTGCATTCCCCGCTTCTATCTCTACCTATTAAACCTTTTTGTCCGCCTAACTTTTCTGCCCTTTCTTTTGGACGAGTAATTTGATGCGGTAACGACTCTATTCAGACCGGTCTTAGCCAGGATTTACTTTCAGTGCTTCGCTACCTTGGTGTGTGCTATGCTTGACGACCTCGGACGCTACAGTAGTACCCCATAAGGTCAAGTAGAGAAGGCTTGATACCCAGGGCTTCCAATTTTACCAAAAGATGTCTATGTGGCACCCTGTTGAAGGCCTTGCTAAGATACAAGTAGATAACTACAACTGAACGTTTTTCATTACGGAGAGGGCTTATGAAATTAAAAGAAGGCTAAGCGTCAGGCTTCGCAACATCTTTCAGGTAAAAACCCGTGCTCATTAAATCACAGAATCTGATTACCCAGGCAGAAATCAGGAATTTCGCCGAAAACTATCTTTTCAACAAGAATCACTGGAAACCGAGTTTTATGCACGTCCTGAAATTTGTTAACGTCGGATCGAGGTCCGCATGCGAAATCTGGAATTATACTTGAGGTCTTTTGTGTTTCCGGCAGGAATTTACTCGAAAAATACACTGGGAGTAGACGGCTAAGCAACATGGGTAGGCCTGACACATTAATAATAGCGTTTGAAATGCCGTCTGTTCCCAAGGAGTGGAGTCTTTAGACGAATTATGTGTTTCTGACATCTGTTTTATAGAAAATTCTGTCTGAACGCAAACGAACGGAAGGAACTGCTACAGACCCTGTGGTAATGTGTTCTGCAAAGACGGCACTAAGAAAATACGTCTTGTCAGTGTTGCCAATTAACAAGCACGTGATGTCATTTAGCAGAAGAGGAATATTGTGATACCGCATAGAGAAGCACCGACGACCAGAGATTTGGACGGCGAATTTTAAAGCGTTCAGATCACTCAATACAAGTGATTCTCTCTGCGCATCGAGAGCTTGACACATCTCCGAGGACGATTCTAAAATTTCTGTGATTCTTAGACGTACGTATAAGGAACAAAGAACAAGTTATCCAGTTGCCACCCCAATTCCGGTTCAAGAAATCCGCCCTGATGATGTCCGTCTCGAATTCCTTGTAAAAAAATATGGAGGTCAGTCCAGTCTGGCCCGCACATCTAACCTTTCATAAGCGAAAATTTTTTTCTCTAAACTGGCCAAATCATATTCATTTTGTTTTTCGAGAAGGGAGGTTTTTTTCACACTCATAAACCGGCTTCCTTGAGCATGGACCAAATGCTGTACAGATTCCGTCAACTCCTGCTAAAATGGACTTTACATTTTATGCTTACCCTGAGAGGTATCGATAAAACAATTGATTCATCGCTTATATAGGTATAAGCCGGCAGATCGTGACATCCTGCTCGAGCCCCTAAAGGGCGACCTACAGGCCTTTGCCCAGTGGTGCTGCACATGGTGCCTTTCTATCCCTTGGCATAAATGCTCAGTCATGGTGATTGGCGACGACACCAACCTTAACTAAGTGTTAACGGTCACGACATAAATGTCTACGGGGTTATTACGGATCTGGGTGTATCATACTCCAAAAGTCTTAATTTTTCGCAGTAATGTGCCCTGAGGGTCTTCAAGGCACTTAGAACGATCGGGTTTGTCCTCCGAAACTTTAAAATTAGCGATATTAGAATGCGCCTCTATTACATTTACGTTAGACCTGGCCTGGAATGCTATTCGTTTTCAGTAAGTCTCATGCGTGCTGCTGAGCGGAAGAAGATAGAATCCGTCCAACATTTTTGGTAACATGTGGTTATATAGTCCCACCTGAAGTAAGCCAACCCCAGCCATCTGTAAAACCGGAACGGTGGTAAAAGGGGTTTTACAGGTGAGGTCGGAAGAAGCACAGGCAACTGGGTCAAGTAGTTGTATGCAAAAGAAAAGCTGTTGGGAATGCGCGGTTGAACTTAATTGGTTAAGAAATAGTTGCCCTAATCCCTAACTATTACCCCAGGCCCAAACCCCTAACGCTAATCCCTTGCCCTAACCCCTTAACTTAATCCCTACCTCTAACTCCTAATCCTAACATCTAACCACGACCTCTGACCCCAACGGAATTTTTTCCATCAGGTGGGGCTAAATAACCACATCTTACCCATTTTTTGCCAAGAGAGTTTCAAAACCGAAACACCGCCATTTATCGTACCAAGAAGTTGCCGATTTACAGGGCTTGATCCTTTGCAGTTTTATAGATTACAAAAGGGACTATTTTACTATTTAAGCTTTTATATAATCGTACTTTTAACCCACTCACTACTTTACAACATCTTGTGCACCCCCGACCTAACAGAGACCGCGAGGTCTTTTTATTTCATCCTTTGGCACGTACCTCTAAATATCGTCGGTTATTTTCCGCAAACACGTTTGCCATTTGGAATAAGTTACCCAGAAATGCGAAAATTCAACAAAATTGTTCTTTGTTTAAGAGAATTACTATTTGTTTTTTGGACTCAGAAAAACCCACAAATTTTGAGCGCTAAATTTACCGATCGAGCATAACGCAGCGGTGGCGTTCGTGGTCTCTGATCTTCATGACCGGTCTCGCCAGGGAAAATTTCTTTAGCCAACAGCCACAGCTGTTCTTCAGTGTTTCTGTTTGGTCCTGTCCCAACTTCGTGACAAAAAATGGCGGCTGATAATATCCGATGCAGTGCTACTCCTCCCTTTCTTGACTTTCGTCATTTCATGGGCAGCAGTTATTTTCTCCTGAATCCTCCAAACTATATAAAACCACCATCTTCTTCATTTTTTATCAGAAGTTTTATTTCACTGTTGGCCGGATTTGTGTTTAATTTTTCCCTGACGATGCCTGTAAACTGACATATAATACTATTATTATAATATTATTCGGATCGTGCGGAAAGAATTTTACGAAAGACATAACATAAGGAGGGCAAATACCCATAGAATATTTATGTGGTGTTGAAGGCAGAAATCAAAATTGCCTACAAAGGGGGATGAGTCAGGGCGAAATGGAGCCCCCAGAACAGAGTTCGTTCGAGTAATTGGAGGTTAGACGGAAACCGAGGTTGGGCTGTATGTTGGACAGAGCTCATTGCGTGTGTCGTGGTGTCAGACTGCTGCCTCGGAAACAGTCCCATAATCGTCTTAACCAAATCACTGAATCTGACCATTGTAATTGCGTTTCGATTGACAGTCGAATAGACGCTTTAATCTTTGGTTCACATGCTTTTATACTTGTATAGTTGTGCGATGTCGACACAGTGTGATGTGGTTGTGAAACCAACGCATTTTGAAATGAAAGTAGAACACCAGATTAGCGTAAACAAAAGATAAGGTCTCTGTGACTTCGCATCGTCCAAACCAAGGATCCTCGGGCGTTACAGCGCTGGTAGCGTCACGTACGAACACAGCTCTACAGACCCAATGCGGGGGCACGCTTCCATCTTACCTTCCGTCAGTTGCACCACAGTGTGACGAAAAAGAGAGCTTCCAAAACTGATTACAATGTGCTACATTCTTCTTGGAAGAAGCTCCTGAGGTGGACCACAGCTGTACTCTCTTCAAGTGCCTCAGTCCTAAACGCTTTAAACGAGCCCTGGCCGCGGCTTTGGCATCGCCTGCTTCGCAGCCTGTGAGAACGACTGCAATAAATACTGCAAGCCAGTGTTTTAGTTGGCAGAGCCATTGACCGACTGCTTGGAAGACGAGGTCAAAGTTTCGGGTTGTCCAGGCATTTCGCCGAAGACCTATCGGACCTCCCGAACGTGGCCTACCCATCCCTCAAAATAAACGATAAGGAAGGTGTCATACTTCATCAATTCATAAAAGGGTAAGATGCGTCGGATCTCATCCATTCACTCCCTATCATCCCTCCAGTAGGCCTACAAGAGGCCTTAGAGCGGAGAGATTTTTACTAGCTTTGAAATCACAACAATCAAATCAACCAAACCCTCATATTTAAAATTGTCATATCCACCATACGAAAATAAATTTCTGTGCTCTCGGAAGAAAACTTCCGCAGATCGATCTACTTAAAGGCGAAAGGTGGCAAGTCTTCACGGAACATATAGATGACGTCAGTGATGCCAGGACTATTTGCGGACGCAGTAAATGCCTCTTTTTCCACGTGTGATGACGCATGTGCCTTTTTCTATCCCTTCTTGACGGAAGTCGAAATAGCAGGCCAGAAGCTGGAGGCTCTTATCGATACATGTGCAACGTCATCGCTGGTCAACCCTGGACTGCTTCCGCTGTCGTACACCAGACCTATCAAAACAGCCGCCGTACCACATCTAATGACAGCAGACGGCCCTCCTCAATGGCATCAAGGGACGATAAGCATTTTCTCCCGTTCCACTCACACGAAATGTGACCATACTTTCTTTGTGGCGTCAAATTTGGCGTGGGACATGCATATAGGCCTTTACTTTTTACCAGAATATGCCTGTGTCGTCAACGCCAAGGACCGCATCATGCAAGTATGACCGGCTTCCGGTCGTACATAACCGGCACCATTATTTGACGATCAGACAGTCTGTGCAGCAATACATGCTTCGGCACAGATTCCTCCCACAAACATAAACAGTATTCTACCACACTCGGCTACGTATAACACGAACAAAGCCGTCCTCCGAGCTCTTTTGCGTCTGTTTAAGGATATTTTTGCATCGGACGAACATTCGTTAGGACGCACCGACGTCATGTGCCACACTATAGACACGGGTTCGGCGAAGCCCGTTTCACAGCCATTCAATCGGATTCCAGCATGATTTCAAAAGGAGGTTATTGACATGGTCGATTTTATGCTCTTCTCCGGTGTCGTACGACCACCTATGCCATCTTGAACATCGCTCGTCACCCTACTGCTTAAACAGAATGGTAAATTACGTTCTTGTGTTGACTAACTCAAACTCAATGTGGTTGCGACTCGTGCTTCCTTCCATCTGCCCCGTACTGAGTGTACTTTCGACGCTCTTGCACATTGATTTCCAACGCTGGACCTGAATATGGGATATTAACAAGTCGAAGTTTAACAGATTGTTGGCCAAAAGACGACCCTTATAACCCCCAAAGGGCTGTTCGAATCCCAGATCATACTATTTGGCTTATGAAATGCCACCGTTACATTTCACAGAGTGACGCAAATCGTCTTAGCCCATTTGTACCCGTAATAATGTCTAATCCATCTAAACGATGTAATTTTTTTGGAAGAGGATGAAACGACCTAACAACTTCGTTGCTATAGTAACGGCATTACAGGATGTAAGACTTCGGCTAAATCCCCAAGTGTCAATTCCTCTGCGATCGAGTAGACCACACAGGTCACTAATTTAGGCCGATGGCTATACGAGCAACTTCGGGAACGACAAACGCGTTCGATCCTGACTTACACCACGGTCGTAGACAGAAGTGCGACCTAGGATTAACTTCGTATTACTATAGTTTCATCCACTATTTTTCTGGTACAGCCCGACCAGTACATCGGCTGACAGAAAAAGAACGAACATTTACCTGGACAGAGGACTGTAAAGTGGCGTTCGACGAATTGAAGGCTCGGCTAAAATTGGCCCCGGTTCTTGTGTTTTCTAGTACAGACGTCGGCGTCCCACCTTCCCTCTTGGATACTTACGCCAGTGGATTCGCAATTGGTGGTACTTTCACAGGCAGAAATAACAGGCCATGAAAGGCCAGTGTGTTTCACTAGCAAGATCCCGTCCAAAGCACGGCACTACCGAACGCACCACCGAGAATTATTAGCTGTTATTATCTTCATCGAACAGTCCCGTCCATTCTTATCGTACAAGCCCTTTATTGTCCACCTCGACCACAAAACCCTTCAGTGGTTGGAAGACACTAAAGGCACAAGGGAAAGCAGCTCGATGGCAAGAATTATTACAACGGCATTCGTTCACGTGCACTTACCAACCAGGAGCGCAACATGCAGACGCACACGCGTTGTCACGCACATCAATAGTACTCGGTCGAATTAACGCGGTGCAACCTACTGGACTTACAAGCCATCACTGGACTATCGTTAAAAGTACCGACCTAGACACCGAAATCGCATACAACCACCTTCTGCACTGTCGATCCTGACCAACAGATTAATAATTAATCAGTTCCTCAGGAGAGGCCTATATTCTACGAAATCAATGGCCGCGCCTCCCTATAGATAATGACATCTTATTGTTTAAGGATAAATTGTCCGATTCATCTTGCGTAGCTCTTTCCAGTAGCCTGGTGCTTCCAGTGTTAACGGACCTATAGCATGGACTCGGCCATGTAGGACCACACGAAACGGAAGTAGTGATGCGACAAAGGTGTGGCAGTTCGCGTCCCCTCGCCCTCCGCCTTTGTCACGCTGCCGTCCTGTCCGCCCCACACTCCGTGTCAATACGCTGCTGGGACGCGCGAGTGCTCGAAGCCAATCAACGCTGTCCCCACTCTGCTTGGATGGCGAGATTGAGACAATGAAGGGCGCACACACGCGCGTACACAACACCCCGAAGGCGGACAGAGCTTGCTTGGAGCGCGCTCGCGGCGACTGCCTGCAGAGCCCTTGTATACGCACTTCCTCAAGCAGTTAAGGTTGTCCAACTCAAACCGTCTTCCCTGACTTTTGATTGGGAATCTTTATCTAGTCGACCACACGACATTCGACAAAGGTTTTGGTAACCACAACTAGATGAGCAAGTTACCACGTTCAGCAACTCGCCTTCAGTAAGTGCTTTCAAAAACCCAACATGACACATGCGCCCCCTCCCTCTGTAGGTAATGCCAATCGGGTCCCCTTTCCAAAGGGCAGGCATAGATATCATTAGCCCACTTCTGGTTAAGGCCGCATGCTGCAGTTCTTTTCTAGTTGTGGGAGATTATTTCACAGTGGACAGAGCAGTGCCACTCCTAGACAAGACGCGTTATCCGTTGCTTCAGCCCTTTTCAACAAATAAATATACCGTTCCGGATCACCGTTACTTATTCATTCCGACTGCGATGCTAATTTCGACAGTAACCCAGTCTATGTGTGCGACCTACAAGGGATCTATAAAATCCGCACAATGCCTTTCCACCCGAGGGTAACGGACAAGTGGAGCTAACGGACCGGACTTTAGTCAAACTCCTTAAAGCCTTCGCAGAGGAACATCATCCACACGACTAGCACGAACGACTTCCCTGCGCCCTAGTGGATTCTCGGGCGACTGTGCACGTCACCAAAGACTATACTACTTTTGTAATGATGGCCGGTCGCACTTTCCGTCTTCCAGTCGGATCCCAGTCACTCTCACCGCTAACAAGTTGGTGCACTTCCGGTGACCACGTCAGACAACTACAGGGACTCCTACGGCTCATGCACAACCTAGCCCGATCGCCACACACATGGTGCCCCTCATATACACGGCGATATCGCGTAGAAATATCGATCTTTCCCTCCATTGCGCACGTCTTTTTAATTCTCTTACCACTGGGAAGGCTCATTAGTAGTCAGGGGCGGCATGCCCACTGTGGACTACGCACTTCAAGATGCCATACGTCCAGGCGAACCAGTTTTTATGGCACACTTCTACACATTTAGGCCATACAGATAACGCCTACCCACTGCAACGACGGACGCTGCCAATCGTTCCGCCCCATCTGGTACCTCTGTCGGGAGGTCACGGAAGACGGGTCAGGTCGGACAACTTTTACTGTTGAGGGAGAATCTATGTTTTTTTTCAGATAATTTGAGGCACGATATCGATGGGCTAAGACTGAATCAACCTCGATTGACGAAAAGAATATAACTAAACTAGGGGGATCTTGCCAGTGGATTACAGACGTTTGACATTCTCTATTTTATAATCAAATTCACGCCAGTAAAGGAAGTAATCGGAAATATCAGTTGGTCGTGTGGACCTGGGAACATGTTTGTAGGAAGTTACAAGTCATTTTCTGTCTACCAAATGTTTCACTGGCAACTAAGTGAACGACGGAGTCAAGAAGTTTGCAGAAAAATTTGCAGACAAAACTTAAGCTACACGAGCAAATATCGAATGACCGGTTTTCAACTATCAATCCGAACAAGTTTAACACGTGCGTACGTAGCACGATATACCAGACTTGGCAGAAAAGGCATTAACCAAAAGCCCAGACACGTTTTTTTGTCGATATTCCGCTACTGTATGACACAACTGTGAGGGGTACGGCTCATCAATGGATCCCTCAGCGTCCCCCGTACGTCTTCGGGTAGATGCTTCAGTTCTCAAATTGCAAGTTTTTAGTTTTCTCAGAAACAGATCGCTAACTTGGAGTAAATCAGTCCATGTGATAGTTATAGGCTCAGAGTGAAATTCGATACGAATATCTGGGTCAAAGTTCATCAGCCGCAGAGGAATAACCGCGTAATATTCATTAACTGCCAACAGGCAGCCCGAAGTATATGCATATACCATTCGCTTTGCAGTCGAAGGCAGCCCAGTCTCTGGTTCTGTTCGACTGGCCGGACTTCCGACTAAACTCCTCCTTTATCGAGCTTCGACCTTAACTAACAGTAAACACGATAAATCTAAAATATAAACTTTCGAATACCTTCAAACACAGTCTAAGATTGACCATTACACGCAAAACTAATCGCCTAATACAGAAACTCGTTCGGAAACAAATCCCACCTTCCGCCGTGCGCTTGTCTTACTCGTTCGACACTAAGAGTAAAAGGTTGACCGCCAGTGGTGGGATACTAATCTGACTGGCAGGCAACACATCCCGAAAATTGATAGTCGGAATATGATTTCCAGCCGGATTTTCCGTCTGTTGTCCTTGACGCCCCAGCTGAAAATAATGTATGCCAAATGCCAACTGCAAAATAAACGTTTGTACTTTTCATCACGCAAATTCCTCATTTGCATACCAAAATTCATTGAGAACCTTTCAATGAGGAAATAAGAAAAAAATAGGAATTGGTCTTTAAAACAGTCATAGGCATATGTATTCCAAAAAAGGTATTCGCTTTATAAGAAGCGACTGCTACCATGTAAAACGTTCAACTAATAATTTTAGAATTCTAGAGCAAACGTGAAATAAGCAGCAGTCTACTAACATCAGAACGTTCTGAAACTAAAGACCCGCCGAAATATCTCTTGTTTGACTAAGTAGAGGGTCAAATATTTATAAATCTTGAGGTGGTTCATTCTCTTCCTCTGTTATTTCTTGCGGGCCAGGGTCTGCTGAATCAGTTCTCTCCGGCAACTCATCCAGTCGCTTGCCTCCGTAAATAATCATGTAGATGATGCCGAAAATGCAACATGTACCCGACACCAACGTTGATATGGTCGCGATAGCAAGAACTAGCCGCTCTAGAAAAAAAGGATGTGCATAATAGTCTGTCATCGCTAAGTTTCGCTATTAAATTATCGGAACAATCAGAACTAGTTCGTAAATACCGCGAACCCACTATAACTTACTATCAGGGGATAAAGGTTTCTGGTCTGGAACAGTAAAGTATGACAAGCAAACAGCATGGTATTAATAGCTGTTCCACATGTGTGTTGTTTTTAAATAAATATGACTGGTTGAATGGGAAATAACATCATGGTGTCGGGCATTTGCACGAATAAACCAAATCCAAATCATAATGATGACGGTCACTCACATCCTTTGAATTCGATAAGCTTCTCGGCCACTGAAAATTAAAGACATATTAATAAAGCTCCAGTAAAGTGCAACAAAGGACGCAGAACTCATATAACACAGACGGCCAAAAATGACGCAAAGGCAACTTTTAGTAGAGCGACATAGGCATAAAATGCAAAGGGATGGGAAAATTGTTGAGAGTCGGCGCAGCCTTTTCTAGGCCTACAAAGAAAATTCCTAAACTGCCAATGTCTTACGCCCTGGTTCACGAACCTTTGGAATTGCTTAGTTATGTTTTATTGCCATTTGTGCTAGTGAGGAGTGTACACCTTGATGAGGTATCGGTTGCACCGAGCGCCGTGCTCTACTGCAAGAAATGGCCATTTCGCTCTGCTCCGGACACCCAGTACTCGCCGGAAACCCCATAAAGCTCTGTTCTATGCAGCAGCCACACCATGGTAACCACTGCGACTGGCAGGATTAATCAGATGAGGTTCGACGGCATTGCTGCTAGCCTGATCGAATTGTGCGCGAAGTCTGTCCCGGACGGTAGGGATGAAGCAAACATGCTGGAGCAAGCACAGACAGGGCTTGATGAAAGATCAGCAATCGCGCACAATCTCAATATCAGTCGTCCTGATGTAGTTAAGTTACTGGATCACGGTTCATTCGTGAGTCAGATTCATCACTCAATAACCTACATCAGCCCCCTTGTCTTTAAAAAGGTCTGCACAGAGGGTAAGATACGATGCTGTAAGTGTTCAGGATAGTTCGGGTGATTTGTTCGCTAAGTCTAAACATGAACCTTTGAAAAATTGGTACCCACAGGGGACGTCGAAGTAGCCTACTTCAAGGACGTAGTACTCACCGCTCCAAATGGGTGGGTGGAGTTGCAAAATAGTGGTCTAAAAATCCCCGTTATCCCATTGACTGCAAACCCAAAATGCCATGGACACTCTCTTGCTACGAACATGTGCTTTCCAGGACCACCCGTGTTGCTTGTCTGCTGGCTTTGAGCAGTGATAAAAGGTATTTCAATTTGACGGACGTCTGACTGACTTGGCCGAAAGCTTGTAGGACGCAATGCTCAAAGATGCCGATGCAAACGTTAATACACACAAGGGTTGACAATCACGCTCTGCTCAACGAACAGGCAAACGAGTTACCGTCAATTACGGTTGAAAGCAAGGGAGAATAGTCAACGGAACGCGTTGCAGAGATGGCCTGAAGCATGCGTTTGTTTCAGCAGCAATGTACTCAGACAAAAGGTAGGCATTGGTGTTCTCAATTTAAGCTGACTGTTAGGGAAGAAACGTTGGAGGAAAGAACTTCTCCTAAGTGAAATATCATTCAAATTAAAGGAACCTAAGAACAAGGAAAAACAATATACAAGGTGCAGAGAAGGAAACCGCATATTTAACGACAAATCAGGGAAGCTAACTCACCTTCACCGGGCGCATGTGTGGTGGCGGTTCCTACAAGTGACGCAACAAGAACCAACATAGAGTGCCTGGCGTGCTGAAAATACTCAGTCTATAGGGAAATACAACCTAGACAAAACGATCAACCCATCAAGATGTCTAATTGGTGGCTGTAAAATCGAATCCGCCTTGAAATTCGATGATCTTTTAAGTACTCGTGACAGTCTGCAGTAGCACTCAACGGTAATAGTGATGCCAGGCTGGACACGCAAAAATTCTTTTTCTCCAACAGTCTGGGACGTTTTTCCCCAGGACGTAATAGTGTCTCTATCCGTAGAAGCTTTTAAAACGAAGCACCACAGCGCTGCCTGACCGCCGTCGTCTTGATATCTTATGCTAAAGCCTTATTACTGTTGACACTACCGATAATCTCTAAATAACGTTTGTTTATAGAATTTACTAATGCATGAGCCTCGTGAAAGTGTTCGAACCTCGTTGCACTGTGTGCTCCACAGCAGGATTGGAGCAAGAACGGTAACTTGTGCATGAGTTAGTTTAAAGTGCCAGTTGACTTTTGCAACATCTGTTGCATTCTCCCCCCGCTCTCCTCTACCTGGATCCAGTGCCAAGAAAGAGTCAAGAATACCGGAGGCGAGGGAGGGCGCAAGTTGTTGACAGGGAGAAAACCCGCACCTAGGTACACTAAACCCCCCCCCCCGGTCCACAACATATACTGATCAGGGTTTTACACAGCAGCAAAAACGTGAGGTGGATCGGATCTCACTTGGTGGGAGTTCCATGACAGTTCGACCTCGCGTCTGACAATGTCCACCGTGCGCTCCACAGCAAGGTGGAGCTGGCACGGTGGCTTAAGCGTGCATTAGTTCGTAGTGAAATATATATTGGCACAGAATCTACCACACTCTCCCCCTCCTCACCTGCAGCCGATGTCAAGACAAAGTAGAGAAGACCGGAGGCGGGAGAGGGAGTAGGTGACTGGCACGGCCGGGCCCGCACCCAGGCGCACCACCACATCATCTGGTCCACAACAAACGTTTAACCATGATTTGAGCAAACAACAACAGGACCAAAACGGGTCAGAAAAACGAGGAAGTCTGGGCTGCTATGTCCTAGATTTGTATACCCAATGGGAGCGCAAACGCATCTACCGACAGGGAGACAGGGGTAGGAGAACTGCAAGCGCACACTTTGCTGAGAGGACCATGGCTTGCTGATCATGGTGTAGCAGTTCGCGTCTCCTCACCCTCCGCCTTTGTCATGCTGCCGTCCTGTCCGCCTCACACTTCATGTCGACACGCTGCTGGGCCGCGCGAGTGCTCGAAGCCAATCAACGCTGTCCCCACTCTGATTGGCTGGCGACGTGGAGACAACGAAGGGCGCACACACGCGCTGACAACACCTCGAAGGCGGACACAGACAACAGCTTGCTTGGAGCACGCTCGCGGCGACTGCCTACAGAGCCCTTGTGTACGCACTTCCTCAGGCAGTAAAGGTTGTCCAACTCAAACCGTCTTCCCTGACTTTTGATTGGGAATCTTTATTTTGTCGACCACACAACTTTCGACAATTGGTGACCCCTTTACGAACAGCAATCTTCGTTCTTCCTAATCTACGACAAAGTCAGGCGTTGATCAAGGACAATTTTCCACCGGAAGTGCGGCATATTTTGGCACCCACCTTCGGCATTCTTTCGGCCACGCAACTTACTCAGATGGCTGATCGGCTTATGGAGATGCACGGTTTTTCCAAGCCGTCCCTCAACTCCTCCTGCGTCTCCCATTTCGCAGTTAGACATCGACCTCAGCAAGCTGGCCAATGATATAGCTTCACTCCAGAAGCAGGCAGTTTCTCCCTCGTCTCGGAGCCAACCGAAGCCGCCCACCCCGCATCTTCAGTCTTCACATCCAGCCCGTCCAAACGCAGCTGCTACCTGCTGGTCCCACACTACCTTCGGTGCTAAAGCCCGTCGCTGCGTCTCTCCCTGCTTCTTCACCTTCAAGCAGAGCAAACTGGTAAAACCTGTCAGCCCGAAGGTCAGTGCTACCAATCTTTCCGACAGCTCCAACCCTGGTCACACATTTTACGTCCTCGACACCAGGAGTGGCAGACGTTTCTTGGTTGACACTGGTGCCCAGCTAAGTGTCATTCCACCCACTCCAGCTGATCGTCGGTGCCCCAATCCCGGTCTTTTCCTACAGGCCGTCAACACATCGCCGATTACCACATTTGGCACCTGTTCCCTCTCTCTGGACATAGGTCTCCGGCGTCTCTTCCCTTGGGTCTTCGTCGTTGCTGACATCCCCTGTGCAATTCTCGGTGCAGATTTCCTCGCCGCTTTCGATCTTCTGGTCGACTGCCGTCAGTCACGTCTACACGACAAGACTACCAACCTCACTGTCCGGGGTATCTCTTCCTCCGACGTCTCCCGTCATCTTGCCGTCTTGGACCCTGAACCCGAGAATCCATTTCGGCAACTCCTCGCCAAATACCCCGGCCTCACTCGTCCCAACTTCAACGTTTCTGTTCCACCACATGACGTTGTTTACCACATTCGGACCACCGGCCCTCCCGTGTTTTCTCGCCCCCGCCGTCTCGCGCCTACACGTCTTGCTGCAGCCAAGGACGAATTCGAGAATATGCTTCAAATGGGCATCATCCGTCAGTCTGAAAGCCCTTGGGTCTCACCCCTCCACATAGTTCCAAAGGCCGCCACTGGTGACTGGCGCCCCTGCGATGATTACAGGGCCCTGAACAACGTTACTGTCCCGGACCGCTATCCTGTCCCACATCTTCAGGATTTTGCCGATGCCCTATTCGGCAAGTCTGTATTCTCGATGATCGATCTGGTCCGTGCTTTCCACCAAATTCCCATAGCCCCAGAGGACGTTTCGAAGACGGCCGTTACCACCCCCTTTGGCCTCTTTGAGTTCCTGCACATGCCGTTTGGACTTCGCAACGCCTCCCAGACCTTCCAAAGGTTTGTAGATAGAGTGCTTCGCGGCTTACCATTTATCTACGCCTATATCGACGACCTTCTGGTAGCCAGCTCCACCACCGAAGAACACATGGAACATCTGGCAACGGTGTTTGACCGCCTTCAACAATTTGGCGTTGTTCTCAACCCGTCCAAGTGCGTCTTCGGTGTGCCCTCCCTAGAATTTCTGGGTCATCTGGTCGACTCCCAAGGCATTCGGCCTTTTCCCTCAAAGGTTGCCGCCATTCGGGACTTTCCATCCCCCACCTCGAAGCGTCAGTTGCAACGGTTTCTTGGTATGGTGAACTTTTATCGTCGGTTCCTACCGAACTGTGCTGATCTCATGTTGCCGCTCACCAACATGCTTTCTGGTCCCAAAGGTCCCCTCGAGCTGACTGGTGAAGCACTGACTGCTTTTGAGAGAATCAAGAATCCCCTTGCTGATGCCACCTTACTCACACATCCCGCTCCCGAAGCTCAGCTGTCTCTGATGGTAGATGCTTCGACCGTAGCCGTAGGTGCAGTCCTTCAACAACACCTTGCTGGTTTGACTCAACCACTTGCCTTTTTCTCCAAAAAGCTCTTACCAGCTGAGACACGCTACAGTACCTTTGGCCGTGAACTACTTGCCATTTACCTGGCTGTGAAGAATTTCCGGCATTCCCTTGAAGGTCGTGACTTCACCGTTTTCACTGATCACAAACCGTTGACTTTTGCACTTCGTTCCCACACTGACAAACTAAACCCCCGGGAAATCCGCCAACTGGACTACATCTCCCAGTTTACCTCAGATATCCGCCACATCGACGGGTCACGCAATGAGGTGGCTGACGCACTGTCCAGGCCCTCCATTGCTCATCTTCAGCTTTCACCCGGGATAGACCTCGCTGAGATGGCCGCTGAACAACGCCGTGTCGGTCCACCCTGTGATGAGGATGTTTCCGGACTCCATCTTCAGGAGCTACCACTGACAACGGCACTATTCTATGCGACGTATCCACCCCATCTCATTGTCCATTTGTGCCACCATCTCTCCGTCGCAAAGTTTTCTCCTCCCTGCACAATCTGTCTCACCCTGGGAGTCGAGCAACCGACAAGCTGGTTTCCGACCGCTTCGTCTGGCCTGGTATGCACAAGGACCTCAAGGCATGGACACGGGCTTGTATCGCCTGTCAACGGAGCAAGATCCAGCGGCACAACAAGGCCCCCATTGGCACCTTCCCTGGCCCTGGTGCAAGGTTCAGCCACGTTCACCTGGACATTGTAGGCCCCCTGCCTCTGTCCAATGGTTGTTCCTATCTCCTCACCTGTGTGGATCGGTTCACTCGGTGGCCTGAAGCAATTCCCCTGTCTGACATTGCTGCTCCAACGGTGATCAAGGCTTTTCTCAGTCATTGGGTTGCTATCTTTGGTGCACCCTCCACGATCACGACTGACCGTTGTGCCCAGTTTGAGTCTAATCTCTCTCAGTCTGTACTCTCCTTCTTAGGCTGTACTCGCATCCGCACTACAGCCTATCATCCGGCAGCCAACGGGATGGTCGAGCGGTTTCACTGCCAGCTGAAGGCCCCTCTACGTGCCGCGGCCGATCCGGAGAACTGGACGGACCACCTTCCCCCGGTCCACTTTGGCATCAGATCCGCTCTGAAGCCGGACCTTGATTGTTCCGCAGCTGAACTGGTGTTCGGTGCCACCGTCCGACTCCCCGGTGAGATGATCTCGCCAACCCCAAAAGGTGCAGCTGAGGGTCCTACCAACCTCCTGCATCGCCTCCGGCAATTTATGCGGACACTTTCTCCGGTTCCTCCCAGGCCCTCCGCCTCTCCGTCTTATCTCAAGAAGGACTTGGCAACGTGCTCCAACGTCTATCTCCGATGTGATCGAGTCTGCCGGCCCCTGGAACCACCCTACGATGGCCCCTTCCGAGTTATCTCTCGTGGGACGAAGAACTTCCGCATCCAACGCGGCACTCGCGAGGAGATCGTGAGCGTGGACCGTCTCAAAGCTGCCGTCCCGGACACTCCTCCGGATTAGCCCTGTGGTCCGCTACCCCCTGCTCCGCCTTCCCGACCCTCTATCCCTCCGTTCCGTATACTTTCTCTGCCCTCATGTCCACAACCCCCAACTGCAACTACCCCTTCATCAACCAACAACACTGTAACCGTGAGCCATACTCACTCTACTCCTGTGCCCCCTGTATATATCACCCGTAGTGGACGCCATGTTCATTTTCCTGACCGTTTGGTTACTCATGTTTTTTAGACACCAACAACTCCTTCGGCGCCGCTACGCGCCACCTTCGGTCTAGCCGGGGGATACTGTAGCAGTTCGCGTCTCCTCACCCTCCGCCTTTGTCATGCTGCCGTCCTGTCCGCCTCACACTTCATGTCGACACGCTGCTGGGCCGCGCGAGTGCTCGAAGCCAATCAACGCTGTCCCCACTCTGATTGGCTGGCGACGTGGAGACAACGAAGGGCGCACACACGCGCTGACAACACCTCGAAGGCGGACACAGACAACAGCTTGCTTGGAGCACGCTCGCGGCGACTGCCTACAGAGCCCTTGTGTACGCACTTCCTCAGGCAGTAAAGGTTGTCCAACTCAAACCGTCTTCCCTGACTTTTGATTGGGAATCTTTATTTTGTCGACCACACAACTTTCGACAATGGCATAGCAGATGCTTACATACCTTGAGGTCCAGAATGGTGGCACGCAGTCCTGCATTTAGTCCGGATTACTGCATTTAAAAGGTTAGGTAACCATTCAATCATAGACTGGGAGGCATTACCCATAAATTATGCACACTCATCACATGCATGAGAGCGCCAGAGGTCACTTTAAGGAGCCGTGACGACATAGCTCTCAGTCCACCAGCCTGCCATTTCACACAAACACAACTGGGCAGACTGCGTGGACTGAGTTCGGGCATCAGTCGGTAGCATTCCAAGCCACGGCGCTTGGCGTACTCTAAGTCGCAAACTCGGATCACACAAACAGCAGAGAAGCCGGATGGAGGAGTCGACAGGCACACTACCAACTTGCGTTTGAAGTGGCAGTCGAGGGTTTGTGATGGATGCTGTTGTGTGGTCAGGTGCTGGAAGGGAAAGGTGTGGTGCGGTATATCCGGCGGTTGTCTACCGCAGCTGTTCATGAATGCGCATGTGACCTAATAGACAAATGCAGGGACGGAATGTGCGGGGACAGTTAAGGCGGATGCGGTGAGTGTAAGTTAGTGCTCCAGGAATCAGTTCGCCAGCCTCTGTGCGATGGATTCACAAGTGATCGATTGTTGCCCAGAAGTCCGCTGACATCGCGGGGAGGTTGAGCGTTGGCGATGCAAGGTGAGATCAGTTGAGATTTACGAGCTTCACGGTTAGCTTTGGCAACGTTCATGTGGTTGGCTTCGTAGATCGCTTGGTCTATCTCCGCTGTTCACCTCCAGACCGGTCGGCCCTGGACCAGGTCTTTCTATTTAACCGGTTTGATCTGTAGGTGCTTCAAGGAAGTCTTCAGAATGTCCTTGTAGTGCCCGACTGAACCTCTTTGTCGACAGGGGCCGTGGAGACATATCCATAGAAGATTCATTTGGGTAGCCGCTCGGCGTCTTTCCGCACGAGGTGGCCGCTCCAGCGCAGTTACAATTAACCCAGCATGGCGTGGATGCTGAGGATCCCCGTCCATCCCAATACGTCCGTATCCGGAATCCGGTCCTGCCACCTCCGCTTTGGTATCCGTCGAAGACAGCTGAGGTGGAAGTGGTTGAGCATCCGCGCCTGCCTCTTGCACGCCGTCCAGGTCCTCGTTCCATACAGCAGCGTCGACAGTATGACCACTTTGTACATCTTCAGTTTGGTGTTGAAGTGGAGATCGTGACGATTTCAGACGGTGTTCTGTAGGCGGCCGAAGGCTTGACTGGCCTATGAAATTCGGCGCGCCACTTCATCGTCGATTTTGGTGCTGCCAGAAAGGGTGCTATCAAGATAAGTGGAGGTTTCCACGGCTTGCAGCTGGGGCCCGTTCACGTTGATTTGATGTGCAGTGTAGGCAGTGTTGGGTGACGGATGGCGCATAACCGTCGTCTCCTCCGTGTTGATGACCAGGCCGAAGTTGTTGCAGGCGGCGACGAAGAGGTCCATGCTTCTTTGCATGTCCCCTCCGGAGGTGGCGTTGAGAGCGCAGTCGTCGGCGAAGAGAAGTTCGTGGACAGTTGTTGCGGATACACGCGACTGCAAGTGCATCCGCCGCTGATTGAGAAGTTGGCCGTCTGTCCTGTAGGCGATGCAGATCCCGGGGCGTTCGTCACGATAGGCGTCCATCAGCGTGGCAGGGAACATGAGACTGAAGAGGGTAGGCGCGAGGACGCAGCCCTGATTCACTCCGTTGGCTACCGCGATTGCCTCTGAGACAGCTCCATTGTCCGTGACTTTTGCCGCTATGCCGTCGTGACGCACATCTAAATTAATTACTCGGGACAGCCGAAATTTTGCGTTATTTTCCAGTCCTTCTCAGTTCACTGTGTCGAGGGCTCCCGTCAGATCCACGAAGGTGGAGCATAGGTTAATACGCATATCCTGACACTTCTCCTATGGTTGGCGGTCCGCGAAGATGACGGAAGCCCCACTTACTCTCCGACAGGAGACCCTGACCCAGATGGTTGTTAAGGCGGTTAAGAAGGGTGCGAGAAAAGATTTTTCCCGACAATGTTCAACAACGAAATTCTTCTGTGGTTGTTGCAGAGTTGGCGGTTTCTTTTCCGGTCTCTCGGTTGGCCCAATCGGTTCTCCACGGCAGCGTTCTCGTCAGCGCCGGCGGCGGCGACTGGAAGGTTGGCTGGCCGCAGGGCTAGTTCGTTGCTGAAATGGAGATGGTGAACAGGCACATGAAACAAATCATATTCAACTTACCTGGTGGTCATTTATCTTGAGCTCTCCCGCGTGGTTGTACGCGGACCTTCATCTTGGAGATGACAGGGCGATGGTCAGTCCACCCTTCAGCACCCGGTATCGCGTTTGCCACCAGCATGTCCCGTTGTTATCGCCTCGGAATGAAGACATACTCCAGAAGGTGTCACTGTCGCGATCGTGGATGCATCTAGATAGTCCTCTCACGCTTTGGAAGGCGGAAGAAGGCGTCGGTCAGGATGAGGCGATGCTCTGCACGGGTTCTCAGGAGCAGGCCATTGTCAATGGAGCCGTCAAGACCATGGTGATCCAACACTCCTCTCCATGCGGCAGTCTGTGCCGACGCAGGCGTCGAAGTCACCAAGGGCAATCAACTTATCCGTTTTCGGCACAGTCGCCAAGAGGGCATGTAGATCATCGTAGAACTTGCTCTTTGCCGCGTCAGGGCTGCTCATTGTTGGGACGTAAATACTAATGGTGGTGGCGACGTTGGAGGGCCAAAGAGACCACATTAAGGGGGAGTCATTTCAGTTTCACACTCAGTCCGCCAGTCCGGCACTCCAGCCAAGCACACCCCGGGCTAACTGCGTGGTTCGGATTGAAGCGTCGGTTGGCAACTTTCCAGGCCAGGGCTTTTGGCGTGCCGTGTTAATCTTAAGCGCGTAAATATGTTTACGGTAAGGAGTTATGTGCGAGAGTTGACCTCACTCTATGCTATCCCGTGCACCAGTTGGCTGTCTGACCCAGTCAGCCAACTGATTATGAGATTGTGAGAGGCGTTTGACAAAGCCGAGAACAGTCCGTTTGCGCATGACATACCCCACCTGCGTCGTCCCCCCCCTATACGTCCACACTTGGATTGCATACACATTGGATACAACGCTCGAATCTCACTTGCAGCAGAGGAGTCCCATGTATAAAGGATCCAAAGAATACACTTCCCACTTACGACAGAGATGTCAGTGTCGTTGTGTGCCGTAGATGTTTATGTGTACTAATGCGCTCATGGGGAATGCGTAGTGATGTGGTCATGCTTGCAGCGATTAGCCACACGTTTTCATGAATGCGCATGTGACCGAATAGGCCCGTGTGGTAAACTAATACGCGTGGACTGTGCGGACAGTGAAACCAGTGCCGCAGGGGTATGTGGGTACTTCGAGCTCTAGTTCTCTGGTCTCTGTGCGATGGACTCGCAAGTAACCGACCAAGCCGATCCGTGAGGTGTGTGTGGTGCCAATGTAGACAGGGGATGTTTGGGGACGTTAGGTCGGTCATCGTTGTGATGTCGACAATGGTGAGTGCGCTGGTCGATAGGACACTAGTTGCGATGGGGATGGAAGGAATGGTGGGTGTGCAAGGTGGGTTACATGCGTCGATATTGTGGTGAGTTCTGCTGCTATGGATACACATGTGGGCAAGTAGGCTCATACGGCGCATAAATTCGCGGAGACAGTTCGGACGGTGAAGGCGGATGCGGCGAGTGTATATAGGGGCTCCTGACACTGTCGGGCCGATTGTAGTGCGATGGATTCGGAAGTGACTGGCCAGACCGATGCAGAAGGTGAATGTGCGACTGCACTAGTAACAATCAGGACTGAGTCCCCACCGCTCGAGATGGAAGTGGGATGGTGAGAGTGGTGGCTGAATAGCAGTCGGGAGAGTTTAGTTTTGTGGTAGGAGTGGTAACTGTTGTGGTCGTCGTCGGCGGCGCAGACGTTGTGACGGAGATAATTGCGGTGGCAGTGACTAATGAAGGCGTAGCAGGGGGTGTTGTCCACCGGTGATGAGGACGGCCATCGTAATCGACGCCGTGAGGGTTGGAGCAGGGGCGATTAGAGAGGCAGTGGTTGGAGTTTTCGGGCAGGTGCATTTAGACCGGAGACATCCAACGAGGCCGATCAGTACAGAATGATCGGTGTACATTTGCTGCTTTTTAATTTCCTCAGAAATTAACTGCAATCGGTGTACATCCCTACAGACACTAACCATAACGCTTGAAAATTACAGATCAGACTATTTTTCCTGTAGTATAGGTGCGTGTCAAGTAAATACGGCAAAAAGCACCTACGTGTGAGCATGCCTTTTCCAATGCTACAAGCGCATGAAATACTTCGCCTATCTGTACAGTTGTTTATAATCACTTTCTAGTTATGTTGTGCTACGTCATTAAAAAATTTCTAAAAAAACTTCGGCTGCGTGTAAAAAATCTGGAGGATAAAGTCGAATACCCACGTTTCCCACAAATGAAATATGCGGAACTGAAACGGTTGGTTGTTCGCTCTACTTAAACTACCTCATCCAGTGAAACTCTTGAAGGGTAAGGTGATTCCATAGTAACAGCACAGGTAATAGCCAAAAGCCCATACACGCGTGTTTCGCCGATATTTTGCCGCCAGAAAAAAATGACGCAGAGCAGCCAGTTCCCAGCCTTTTACCTGTAGTAGCCCTTTGTCATATTTTTGTTTATACACTCCCTTTTATAGTTATTCTACTTGTTAAGCACTGTCTTTGTCCTTCTCTGGGCGGTGTCCGTTCTGATACGATCGTTTCACTTGGCTTGCTTCGACTTGGTCTAAGCGTGGGATCGCACTATCGATTGACTTGGCCCGTTAAAGTGGTGACCTCTGAACAAAACCGTACCCCGCCTTTTTACGCGTTTTCGCCCGCCGAAAACAGCCAGCCAACCATTGGGCAGTGCCGTACTGGTTCTTCCCTCGCGTGCACTTTCACTTAAATCTTACCGCGGCCAGAGTTATGACGGTCGCTCCTGCTAGCGAGGCGATTCTACTAGCGAAGTAATAGTCTCTACCAGACTTCTGGGCGAATGCACCTGAACTCTACTTCCTTCGGACTGAGTCAATTTTTTACTCTGCGAACATTATCAAACAAGCTACCAGATTCCACAGGCTGGTTCAGGCTTTGCGTTACAGGTTCTTTCTCAAGTACAATCATTGATCCAGAGTCCCCCAGCCGACCAACCATACACGCAGCTTAAGGCAGCACTCCTGCGACTGCATGCTGTGTCTGATCGCCAGTGGTATCACCAACTAATTCGCGAAGAGTGTTTGGGTGACCGAAAACCCACCGAACTTCTTAGAAGGATGCAAAGACTTCGTGGTGAGCTCCACATCGACGACAAGCTTTCCAAGGAAATGTTCCTGAAGCGTCTGCCAGCCGATGTTCAAACCATTCTGGCATCTGGCCCAGAAGATCTCTCGGTTTCATGGTTGGTCGAGACGACGGTCAGGATGTTGGAGGTGCAGCAGTTCCAGCCGCCGTCTGTCGCACAGTTATCCATTTCCGCGTTATCGACGCCAAGTGAGCAGATTGCGACGGAGAGTGATGCTATGGCAGAAGAGATGGCGTCCCTAAAATTTGAGTCTGCACTCCTCCAAACTCTCCTCAATTTTCTTGGCTGCACACGCATTCGGACGACAGCCTACCACTCGGCTGCCAACGGGATAGTTGGGCGTTTCAATCGCCGGCTAAAGACTGACCTGTGTGCTTCAGAAGACCCAGGGAACTGGTCAGACAACCTCCCCTTGCACTCCTCAGCATTCGTGCCTCTCTGAAGTCGGATTTGGACTATAGTGCAGCTGAGTTGGTTTTCGACACTACTCTCCGACTGCCAGGAAGGATGGTCACCCCAAACTCTCGTGGTGCCGATGAGACTCCTGGCAATGTTGTGAACCGTCTGCGCAACTTATGCGCTCGCTTTAGCCGGTTCCACCGCGAACTCCAACGACAGCCTTATGTCCAAAAAGGCTTGGAAAACTGCACTCATGTGTTCGTCCGGTGTTACCGTGTGCGCCAGCCGCTGGAATAACCATACGAAGGACCGTTCCGTGTGTTCGCACGCAATACCAAGGCCTGCCGGATAATTCGCGGTGACGAGGATGTGGTCAGTATCAATCTGGTCAAGACTGCTGTCACAGAGGAGTCGCCGGACCTGCCTCAAGGACAATGCTGTGCTGATTTCCTACCCCGTGATCCTCCACCTTCCCTACCCCATGCTCCTCCACCTTCCCAGGCCTCTTCTACCCCACTTTAACCTACCGCCTCCAACCCTAACTCTTCCAATGTCACTAGCATTCGCACCACTCGTAGCGGCCGTCGCGTCCAATTTTCCGACCGCCTTATCACTCAAGTGTAATAACACTGCAGTTACCTTCGGCATTGTTTTTTCCGCCAGCCTTCGGCCTACGCGGGAGTACTGTGGTAGCCCTTTGTCGTGTTTTTGCTTATACACTACATTTTATTGTTATTCTACTTGCTAAGCACTTCCTAAAATCGCGTTCATTCACTTCTGTTTAAGTTGGTGTTTAGAGAACGGTTATGCGGAGACTCGAACTGGTGTGAGTTTCGGCTTAACTAACCGACTTTTCACCCACTTTGTTCTTCTCTGGGCGGCGTTGACAGTCGAGTCGGTTCCGACGCGGCCGTTTCGTTTGGCTTTTGTCGACGTAGTCTAACCGTGGGGCCGCGTTATCAACTGACTGGGCCCGCTAAACATCTGCTGATGTCTGCGATCTCCAGGTTGCCACGAAGAGACTGATCACTCAGGGCATAGACACCTTTACTTTCAGGCAAGCAGACCGCAAACTGGCCTGCAATACCTAGATGCAGGGTCCTGCACTGCATAAAAGTGTCAGCAAGGAAACACTTAAATAAATGAACACATTCTATTGGCCATGGGCAATTTTTGTCTATTTGCGGAATAAGTAATTTCTCAATTGAGGAACAAATGAACACAAGTACTCCAAACCAAAGCCACAAGCTCTAATCTCCACAAGGGAATCGCTGCCGTGCACATCGGCTCGCGATGTGCGAGGTGCAGAGAGAGAAACAGCATATTAACAACAAATCAGGGAAGTTAGCTCACCTTCACCGGGCGCTTGTGCGGTGGCGGTTCCTACAAGTAACGAGAACCCACATGGAGTGCAGAAGGCACAGAATTGCCTGGCGTGGTGGAAATACTCAGTCTTTAGGGAACTGCTACTTAGACAAAACGATCAAGCCATCAAGATGTCTAATTAGTACAGGTAAAATCGAATCAACCTTGAAATCCGATGATCTTTTGCATATGCGAGACCGTGTTTATCAGTACTTTTACAATTCTGAGTATGTTTTTGAAGTACCGTTAACGGTTTTGTCGCATGAGTAATTTTCGCTACAAAATGGTTGTTTTCAATTTTGTACCGGTGTTTTACCTGCTTTAGTTGGATGCATCTGCTTTGCAATTATGGGCAGCAATGCTATTTCTTTCTTCCTCCACCTGATAGGTCAATGTATGCAGCGGTTGGTTGCAGGCTGATGTATTTGCTACGGGTCATGGGACAGATTTCTTGTTCCAGTTTCATTTAAACTCGAGTGTAAACTAAAGAGTGCGAAAGTAATCCCCGTGTTCTTTTGTTTTTCACTGTCTGTTTTTTTATCTACCACAGATGACATTAGATCAGTGACAGCCTTCGTATACTTTTGCAGTGTACATATGAGCAGTCACGCCTGTAATTTCCCCGTTCGTCTCTAGATGGACACGACTGAGTTTTGTGAACTAGACTCCCCTTAAAACCGACCGCACGGTAGATTCGCCAGACCAAAGCAGGTGCCAGATCGGGGTCCAACATGCGTTAGAGGAAATGCGCACTCGTAACAAATGACAATAAAGGGAGTGTGGGAACGCGCCCAGATGGAATCCGAGTCGCCCCACCTTCTTTATTGTGTAAAATCCTTGCTAATGTATATTTTGGACCAGTGGTGTGGTGGTACGCCTGGGTGCAGAGTTTCGCCGTGCCGGCCGCCTGCACTCTCTCTTGCTTCCGAGCTTCTTGGCCCTGTCTTGACCAGGCAAGGGAGGGGGAACGAGAGAGTTCTGCAGATATTGCGAAAGTCTGCTATCGCTATAGACAAATTCACGCACAAGTCACCGTCCTTGTTCGTGCTCTGCTGTGGAACACTAGGCAGAAAATCTCCGTAACGACGATCGTACTGTCTTCAAATGTTCGTGTCTAAGTGTCCGGTTGGTGCTAAGGTATAATGAGATTGTCAGACTTATTATCTACTTCCGAGTTATAAAGAGAACGCCATTTCATACTAGGGTTAGATGTGGTCATGTAGCCCCAGTTTACGTAAATAAGCCCCAGTCACCTGTAATACGGGATCGGCGGTAATAGGGGTTTTCACAGGTGGGGCTGGGAAACGCACAAGAGACGAGGTTAAGTAGTTGTACGCAAAAGAAAAGCTATTGGGAATGCGCAATTGTACTTTGAGTGGTTGAGAAATACTTGCCATAAACGCAACCCCAACCCCAACCACTTACCCCTAACTCCAACCTCAACAGTATTGTGTCCATCAGGTGGAGCACATAACCATATCTTACCCATACTTAGCCCTCACTGAGAGCATAAAAACTTTCTGCGGATTTTTATATAAATAGAAGAAGCTCCCCCGGTGAATTCTCAACAAATTCAGATAGGTCTGGGTATGGTATTATACCGTTTTACCTAGTGACTGCTAATTTATTCTGAGACTTAGAAATTTACTATTAAAATTTCATTTATCAAGCACCATCCTGTCGCGCGTCTGACGACCCTTGCTGGAAAGGGTTGCCTTGCGGACATCCCTGCCGAACGCTTTATCATGTCTAGAACTTTACAACTGCGAAAAAGATCAAAATATAACTTTCAATTGCCCATTGTGGGTAGGAACTCTTGAAAAGATACATAACTCAAAAGAAGATGAGGCGTTCGCCGAGAGGTTTAGCAAAGGTCAGACGCTTCGAGTAGTTTTTTCGTCTACCCATCTTCCGGAACTAGGCAGTCATGCGCACAGTTGTCCGTATGTGGCGCAATTGTTTGGTGTGTGGCCCGTCAATGCCGCCTGCGTAGCTCAATCCGACCCACATGTCACCGTGACCTGAATCGTCCTCGTCCTTGTCGGCGGCGGAGATAGTTGCTCCCCTTAGTAGATACTTTATCTCAATCGATGATTACGAAGTTATCGTTAACGTAGAGCGCCCAATACTTAGGTTTGCGCTCCTCTTGAGTTTTTGCAGAACCGTCTGGGCAATGAGACCGGAGATTGGTAAACACATCGAAGTCCAGTTAGTATGCCCATACGTGATCCTTCAAAGGTAAAGAATATCCTGAGGCAGTGCCCCATGAGTTCTGTGAGATCCTGAGCTGTGGCTGGCCATCGTCCTCGCGTACTTTTGACGCAGCAGGTCACTAAGCGCTTCGACCGCAAGGGCATGTGGTATGGACGTGAAGAGTGAGATGACATCAAATGGCACCATACTCTCATTCGGTTCAATCATGACCGCCTTTATTTAGTCAAGAAATTGTTCTGCTGAGTGCACTGTTGTCTGTGAGCCCGCAGTTATGAACCCTAGCTTCTGGAATGGCCAATTTGCAAGCCCGCATGTGGGTGTCTCGGAATTAGACGACTGGCCGTAGAGGAACACCCGGCTTGTAATCATCGATTGAGATAAAATTAACTACTAGGGGGAGCAACTGAACTCAATAATTCCTCACCTACAGTCCACGATGGAAGAGGAAATAGAGGTCACTTCCACTCTTAAATGCTCTTATCTGCCGCCAACCGGACGGCAGACTGCCGACGTCAGTCTACAGAAAACCAACGAACACGCTGCAAATACTCAGCTACAACAACAACCACCCGCTGCGACTCAAACGAAGCTGTTTACGCACGCTATACCGACGGGTAGAAACTCATTGCAGAACGCCATCCGCCAAACTGGGCAAGATGAATCTCCTCCAGTAATTATTCAGTGTCAATGGCTATCCGCGAGCATTCGTTGAACGAAGCCTCATGCAACAAAGGAAATGGAATGAAGGGCATAATCAGCCAAAATCGTGGCGAAGCATTTCGTACATGAAAGGTGTCGCCGAAGCTGTGGAGAGATCCCTCGCGCCACTCTGAATGGGATTAGCTCACAAGCCTGACTCAACAATCTGCCGGTAAATGATGCGGCCAAAAGACTCTGTCCCTAAGCAGGGGACGTCGGTCGTTGTCTACAGACTTCCGTACCGCTGCGACTTGAGCACCTACGTTGGGGAAGCCGGTCGGCGGCTACAAACGCGAATGCACGAGCATGAGTTGGCCGTGCGAAGGTTGGACCCAGTCGAAGGCAGTAATCCATGCCGCGCATATGGGACACACCTTCGACTTTGACGTCGTTAAGATCGGGGGTCGAGGCGACAATCATACAGTAAGGCAGGCGCATGAAGTTTGGATGTCCACCGACTGCTCTGTCAACCGCCACATTTATTTGCCTCCCCCTATCTGGCTTTAATAACCTTCTGGACGGGGACAGTCACGGCGCGGGACAATCGGGGCAGCCATCCATCTCCGCGGCCGACAAAGACGGGGGCGATTCAAGTCACGGTAACATGCGGGTCGGATTCAGCCACGCAGGCTGCATTGGCGGGCCACGCATCAGGCAAAGTGCGCCATATAATGAAGAGCTGTGCACATGAATGCCTAGTTTCTGAAGAGGGGTAGACGAAGTAACTACTCGAAGTGTCTGACCTTTAATAGACCTCTCCCGGTG